CATTCCTCTTAAGGCGACTAACATTTCAAATTTACAATTATTAATGAAAAAATTAAACGTAATTTTTGAAATATTCTTAATAATATTTAATTCAATGCACTGAAAATATAAAAGTAATTACGAGTGTTTTGAAGTTTCTTAACGTATTTGATGATTTTTTAAGGAGAATAAAATAATCAGCAATTCAGAAGTATAGAATAAAATGTGATAAAAATATTAATAATAAAAAGTTAGACTGCTTTAAAAAATATATTTAAATATAATATTTTTTTTACAAAATTCATATAATTTTATTATTCGGTCTAAAATTTTCAAAAAATTTTTGTTGCCAAAGCCCCCTCGCAATGCGGGGTTTTGCTGTGTGGAAGTTACGTCCCTGACTCACAGATGAGTTCAAATCCTTGACGGCCCACACGATGGATCCTTGTGGATGGCCCACATTATTGATTTGCAACAATTTCTAAGTCCAAACCTCAAAAAAAATTTTATTCCCAAAAAATTAATGTTTACAATCATATGTTTAAAAATATTGAACTTACATAAGGGCAAATCGCCCTTATCAAAAAAGGATCGCCCATCAAAAATTTCTAAGTCCAAACAACAAATATTTTTTACACTAATAAATTAATGTTTATAATGCTTATAAACAATAAAAAATGCATTTTTAACAAAAATTTATTGACACTTTTTTTTAAATTATAAAAATATTAATTAGTAGTTAGGACGTTAGGGAACATTTACATATTACGTCACGCAAATTTGTGAAATTTTTAATTCCGTAAGTCACATTTTGTTACATAGAAATTTAGAAATAAATAATAAAAAGATCCACATGAGGGCCTTATCAGGGCCACATCTGGGTCCCACTGATCAGTTTGACAAACATTTTTTTTGCATGGGTATTTACATCAATTTATTTAATTAATTTAAATAATATATTTTTAAAAATTCTATTTTTTTATGTCAAAAATAGTCCAATTTAAAAAATATATACTTAATATTTTCATATGCGTGTCTGAATTGCGTCCTTTGGGACACAGAAAAAAATGCGAATGGTAAAAACAACCACATTTGTGTAGTTAGAAAAAAGTAGTTAAAACTACCATATTCAGCAGCATTTTAACTACACTTCCTCAGTTAGTGGAACCAAAATGAAGTAGTTGGTTTTATGTAGTTAAAATAACTACTTTACGTAGTTGAAATAACTAACAGATGCTTGTAAATGGCTCAACTATAGTGTAGTAGTAAAAACTATTGTTAAAAATAGTTAATTTTACTATTGTGGTAGCAAAAATAACTATTTTGTATTAGTTGCAAACAAAATGAGACTTACTGTTTTTATATAGTAAATACAACCTCTGAAAGTTGTTACTTTTATGATTTATGAAGTTGAAACAACTATTTCTTACTAGTTGCAGGGAAAGAAAGAAATTTACTGTTTTCATATAGTAAAATCAGTTGTTGAAAATAGTTAATTTTACTATTTATGCAGTTGAAAAGATCTTTTTTTTCTACAGAGAAAAAACGTGAGTGGTAAAAACATTCACATATGTGCAGTTAAAAAAATATAGTTAAAACTACCATATTCAGCAGCATTTTAACTAAACTTCCATAGTTAGTGGAACTAAAATTGAATAGTAGGTTTTATGTAGTTAAAATTACTACTACACGTTATGATTGTGAATAACTCAACAATAGTGCAGTAGTTAAAAGTACTGTTAAAAATAGTTATTTTCGGAATTTCTGTAGTAGAAATATCCGTTTCTTGCTATTTGCAAAATAAATTAAAATTTACTGTTCCAAAGAGTAAGAACAACCGCTGAAATTTGTTATTTTTGTGTTTAATGTAGTTAAAACAACCAATTCTTACTAGCTTTTAATAATTTATCTCTATGGTGGTAAGAAACATTTATTTTTATAACTACAAAAGTCATAAAAGTAACAATTTTTATGTTATTTTTACTATATGAAAATAGTAAGTTTAATTTTTTTATAACTAGTAAAAAGTGGATAATTTTACTACAGAAATTCTGAAAATAACTATTTTCAACAGTACTTTTAACTACTGCACTATCGTTGAGTCATTTAAAATCATATGCTGGCTACATTTCAACTAAGTCCTTGAGCTTAAAAAATTAGTTACTGCAACTAAACGGAGTAGTTATTATGACTGAATCTAAGAAGAATGTCCTCAAGTACAATGCCAGTCATCGTAGCGTGCGAGCGTGGTTAGGTGGTTAGGTTATCGGTTTGCGAATGTTAGGGTCGTGCGTTCAATCCCCGGCGTTTGGGGATTTTTCTCTGTTAGGTGTATAAGAATTTAATATATAAATTATATATGAACAAAAATAGGTAAGAGAAAATATAAAAAAATGGACCTCAATAATAATAAAAAACAAATAAATAATTTCATTTTACTACTTTAAATAGTTAATTTAACTATTTTTTACAGTTGTTTTAACTACAATTTGTTACGGGCGCCTATAGGAACTATGAAAATTTAGTTACTGCAACTAAATGAAGCAGTTAGTATGACTAACAACAAATAGTTAAGATAACTGTTTTAGTAGTTAAATTTACTGTAAAAAATGGTATTTATTACTACATTTTACAGTTAGACTAACTATTCTGTCATAGTTCATTTTACTAAATAATGTTACGGGCGCCTATAGGAACTACAGGAAATAGTAAAAAAGTAGTCAAATTTACCATATTTTTTTTTGTGTGGACTAAGGTTCGATCCCCCGTGCGTGCAAGATTTTTTAATTTTAATTTCAAGTGTTATGTTTACAATGTTTGTTAATAATGTAAAGCGAAATGTGTGTTTAAATAATAATTTATTGATTAGTAATAAATTAAACAAAAACTTGGTTTATTAAAATTAGTAAAAAAAAGTTGAATAAATTCAAAAAGGATATTTTTTTAAAGTAAATGCAACAAGAATAATTATTGAATAATTATTTTTTTGTAGTTTTAATTTTCATAGTATGTTTAAAATTAATAAATATTTAAATTAATATTTAAAAGCAAACATTTTCTGTTATTAAAGTGCTTAAATAATTTGGTATTTTCAGAAATAAATATTAAAAAACGCCAGATCAGAACCCCACTAGGGATAATCCTATCTAGCCCTGATCAGGTTAGGCATTTTTTATTTAAAATACAATAAGAAATGTTATAAAATTAAATTTGATAAGGTTAGGAGAAAAAAACTGTTTGGTTGTTTTAGAAGTGTAACGTGAGAGTGGTTCTTTTTAAATGAAGATATCAATTTCGTTTAAGTTTCTTCCTCTTTAAAGAAAGAATTAAAATTTTAGAAGAATTTTTTGTTTAAGAAAATGTTATTAATGTGTTTTCTGTGCTTTAATTTACGAGGCAAATTTTAAGAAATTTTAATTAAAAAGTAAAAATTTAATTAAAATTTATTCACATTTTTGATACAAATATAATTTTAAAACAAATTTTTATTTAAAAATACAATTTTATCAATACTCTTTTCTTGCTTAAATGTAAAAAAAGTTTTAATGAATATTATAAAGCAGAAATTTCAATCAAAGTTTCTTTCTTTTCTTTACCAAAAAAATAGAATTTTGTAAGGAAATTCTATTAAAATGTATAATTCAAGAATTTTTTCTTTTTTATATTAAAATAAAGAATAGAATTCTTTTTATTTGAAAAAGGATACAATTTTGTCAGTGTCTTATTTTCCTTGATCAGTAAACCAATAGTGTCTTTAAGAAATAAAATTAAAATGAAAATATCAAAAGAAGAAGATATTAACAATTTAACACTGACATCTGTTGAGTAAAATACAAGACAATATGTTCGCATTTTATAATATTTAACATATCTTAAACACACACATCGCATTATGCAACAATGTGCATGAATGAATGAAAATCCACGAATGTTCAATTTTCAATTCTAATAATTTAATATACAATATTTAAGTAATTTACTTTAATTTTTTTACTCAAACCGAATCTAACCGAATTCGATTAACCCAATTCGACAGGGTAGGAGCATACAAGGAATAACTTTTCATTCGGATGGTTTCTTCCTATTAAGTTGATACAAACTTAATGAATCCTCATAGAAAAATAACTAGTAAATTATTAATTATCTAATACAATCTCTCAGGAATTAGCAACAAAATTTTATAATTTCGAATTCGAATTTAAACCTAATAAAGAATTAGAGGCACTATTTGTATGGAAATTGAAGTTAAAACTTATCTAATTTTCTAGGTAAAATGTATAAGAAACTTATTTGCCATTTAGTAGGTTCTAATTACTTTTTATTAATTTCTATTAGACATTTTTAATAGTGAGAAGTACCCTGCACATTAAGGCCACATTTGGACCAATGAAATATCACGATATATTTTTATTGTTGAAGAAAACTGTTGTGAGCTGCATAAACACCCTATTATTAATAGGGACTGTAATGGCAATTTCTATACGGGTACTCTTGTTTATTTACTTTATTGACTGAAGTGCCCTTGTTCAGATATTTCCATATACACGTGCACTTGCATAAGAATCAATCGGTCCTTTAATATAAATTCTAATTTATTTATTTCTGTAAGTGGTGAAAATTCTTTCGCTTCGTAACAACTTTATTAAATTTTTATACTCATATAATTATATATTTTAATAATTTTTCTAAAATTAACATGTACGTAATACATAAAATAATCAATATATACAATATACATATAAAAATTTGTTAATATGTATATAAAATGTTTTTAATAAAAAAACAATTAAAAATTATTTTAAATTAATTAAAATTTTTAAAGAAATTCTTTTTAATATGAGTTTTGAGATATTTCACAATGTTACACTTACGAATACTTTTCTAAATGTGTAGAAGAATATTAAGCTGAAGTAATTTAAAAAACGCGGGATTTTAGCTCCAGTTTAGAAGATATTAATAATTCCAATAAAATACAACAAAAAGTACAATAATCAATAAGTAATCTGCTAAGCTATACTCACCGGGGAATTTGTCTTAGATCTCGCTGTTTGCTTTTAACATCACTGCTAATAAACCAAATTTCTAAGAGTTTCTCTGCACCTTCAAAAAACTGTGTATTTTCACTATTGTTTTTATTAGTAGCCGCCATCATTTGACAACTGAATACACGATAAGTCTAAAATAGCTTAAAATGTTAAATTATATGAAATACGAAAAAAAAATTCTAATACTGTATTGTGCTTTTCATTTTTCATCTATTTTATATTGATCGTGAAAAGATAATGGTATGTCAGAAAACGAAAATGAGAACCGAGGAAAAATTCACACTGACTGCTTGAAGTAGAATTGCTGTCGTTTTCCTTTAAGCATGTTGTCACACACGAATACTAGCAAAAATTTCAACCACGTCTACTCAACGATAGCTGTAATAACGCAAATGACTAGCGCGTGGCGCATCAGTACAGCGTCTCCATCGCCAATCACAGATATAAAACTACACATGCGCAACTCTTCAACAAAGCTCAGACGTCTCCAATAACGCTTTATACTATGCTACATATATAAGTAACAATTATTTAAATCTCTTTTCGTATATATTTACGCCTCTTCAAAGCTTTTAAACTTATAAGATAGCAAGTTATTTTTTTAATATAACATTAAGAGAAAAGTTATAGTCTGAAATATAATAAAATGAAGATTACTTTTTTCATAATTTACGTGAGCTTTCAATTTTATCAATTTTATCAATTTTATAAATAAAGAAAGGACAGATTTTTTCATTACATTTTAAGATTTATATTTTCTTAATTTCTATTATAATTGCAAATTATGCTTTCTAAATTTCACCAAGTGGAATTTCATTTACTCAAATATATATAAGTCGCCCTCTTGTTCAATAACTCAATATACACTTCTAATATAAGTGAAGTCTTAATGAAGGTAGAAATTTCACTTATCATAAATGAATATACACTTATGAATAAAAAATACTCATAAAACATGGAATCTTTATAAAAATTTTAAATTAAAAATTTCGCAGAGATTCATCCTACTTAGGGCAAAACTAGTCAGGGCCTTGCTTGTTTTCTCGACATTTGCAACATTAACAATAATTAATATTCTTATAATACATATTATAAATATTATAAATATGTATTATTATTAATAAAAATAGATAATAGAAATAATTATTAAAATTTCTTACTTTGAAATAAGTTTTAAAAAATATTGTCCTCATTTTCTTTCATTATTATTTTTAACAGGTTATTCTATTTGAATTCTAAGTAATCATTATTATTGTTATGAATTATTTACTATTTAAACTTACATTATTAACATTGAAAATAGAACACTTAGAACTACAATTTTAAAATCTCGCATGCATGGAGGATCGAACCTTAGATCTCGAGGACGCCATCCAAATAGGCACACCGCAGAGTGACGCAAGCTTGGAAGGCGTGCATATACTTAAATACTTTGTTTTAAATTATGGGACAATGGTATCCACTGTTTTAATAATAGGTCTCGAATAGAATGACTTTTTAAACTGTTTTATTTATTTAACTGTTTTAAAAAAAGGCGACTTTTTTTATTTATTTTTAAAAAATGCGACTTTTTCGACTAAATATTACAACAAAGTACAATATTTTTTGGTATAAAATGCAACTTATTTCAATTTTTCTAACCTTTTCGACGTCTCATGTCGAAAAATGTTATTTCAAACGTCAGTGTAATATAAATCTATCTCAGAAACAAGATCAAAGTGAAGTTAACTGACAAATTTATGCATTCCAATTCTAATTCATTCTTCAATTCAAGATAATGCTATCTCAAAATTATATATAATAATCGTCGTGATTCCAGATTTCCGGATCTCTGTCCACACTTGAAGTTAGTTATAGTTATTCTTTTGTTTTTTATACGTTTTGATAGAAAATAGAAATATACATATACATATACATACATTATAATAATCGTAAGTTTCCTTTCCGTTAGCAAATTATCTGCATTCATTTGTTTATTTTGAAAATTTAATTTTGTGGGTTAAGTATTGGCATTTTTTATATATTTTTTAATGTCAAACTTTTTAATGTGGAAAATACTTTACTTATTAAATTGTCTCGACTCTTTGGTAAAAAATCTAAATTTATCGAAAATTATCAAAAATTCAAAAATCCGAATTTCTTAAAATTCAACATTTTTTCCTCTCTTTTATAAAATTTAGCTTCGTTATTTTTGTGCTTTTGGAAAATACTTTACTTATTTAATAATCTCGAATCTTTAGTAAAAAATCTAAAATTATCAAAAATTCGAAAAAATTCAAAAATCCGATTTTCTTAAAATTCAACATTTTTTCCTCTCTTTTATGGCATTTAGCTTCATTATTTTTGTGCTTTTGGAAAATACTTTACTTATTAAATTGTCTCGAATCTTTAGTAAAAAATCTAAAATTATCAAAAATTCGAAAAAATTCAAAAATCCGATTTTCTTAAAATTCAACATTTTTTCTTTTTTTTTATGGGATTTAGCTTCATTATTTTTGTGCTTTTGGAAAATACTTTACTTATTAAATTGTCTCGACTCTTTGGTAAAAAATCTAAAATTATCGAAAATTATCAAAAATTCAAAAATCCGAATTTCTTAAAATTCAACATTTTTTCTTCTCTTTTATGGGATTTAGCTTCATTATTTTTGTGCTTTTCGAAAATACTTTACTTATTTAATAGTCTCGACTCTTTGGTAAAAAATCTAAAATTATCAAAAATTCGAAAAAATTCAAAAATCCGATTTTCTTAAAATTCAACATTTTTTCCTCTCTTTTATGGCATTTAGCTTCATTATTTTTGTGCTTTTGGAAAATACTTTACTTATTAAATTGTCTCGAATCTTTAGTAAAAAATCTAAAATTATCAAAAATTCGAAAAAATTCAAAAATCCGATTTTCTTAAAATTCAACATTTTTTCCTCTCTTTTATGGCATTTAGCTTCATTATTTTTGTGCTTTTGGAAAATACTTTACTTATTTAATAGTCTCCATTCTTTGACAAAAAATTAAAATTATGGAAAATTAGCAAAAATTTAAAAAACTGAATTTCTTAAAATTCAACATTTTTTCCTCTCTTTTATGGCATTTAGCTTCATTATTTTTGTGCTTTTTGAAAATACTTTACTTATTAAATTGTCTCGAATCTTTAGTAAAAAATCTAAAATTATCAAAAATTCGAAAAAATTCAAAAATCCGATTTTCTTAAAATTCAACATTTTTTCTTTTTTTTATGGGATTTAGCTTCATTATTTTTGTGCTTTTGGAAAATACTTTACTTATTAAATTGTCTCGACTCTTTGGTAAAAAATCTAAAATTATCGAAAATTATCAAAAATTCAAAAATCCGAATTTCTTAAAATTCAACATTTTTTCTTCTCTTTTATGGGATTTAGCTTCATTATTTTTGTGCTTTTGGAAAATACTTTACTTATTAAATTGTCTCGACTCTTTGGTAAAAAATCTAAAATTATCGAAAATTATCAAAAATTCAAAAATCCGAATTTCTTAAAATTCAACATTTTTTCTTCTCTTTTATGGGATTTAGCTTCATTATTTTTGTGCTTTTAGAAAATACATTACTTATTTAATAGTCTCGAATCTTTGGTAAAAAATCTAAAATTATCGAAAATTATCAAAAATTCAAAAATCCGATTTTCTTAAAATTCAACATTTTTTCCTCTCTTTTATGGCATTTAGCTTCATTATTTTTGTGCTTTTGGAAAATACTTTACTTATTTAATAGTCTCCATTCTTTGACAAAAAATTAAAATTATGGAAAATTAGCAAAAATTTAAAAAACTGAATTTCTTAAAATTCAACATTTTTTCCTCTCTTTTATGGCATTTAGCTTCATTATTTTTGTGCTTTTGGAAAATACTTTACTTATTAAATTGTCTCGAATCTTTAGTAAAAAATCTAAAATTATCAAAAATTCGAAAAAAATTCAAAAATCCGATTTTCTTAAAATTCAACATTTTTTCTTTTTTTTTATGGGATTTAGCTTCATTATTTTTGTGCTTTTGGAAAATACTTTACTTATTAAATTGTCTCGACTCTTTGGTAAAAAATCTAAAATTATCGAAAATTATCAAAAATTCAAAAATCCGAATTTCTTAAAATTCAACATTTTTTCTTCTCTTTTATGGGATTTAGCTTCATTATTTTTGTGCTTTTCGAAAATACTTTACTTATTTAATAGTCTCGACTCTTTGGTAAAAAATCTAAAATTATCAAAAATTCGAAAAAATTCAAAAATCCGATTTTCTTAAAATTCAACATTTTTTCTTCTCTTTTATGGGATTTAGCTTCATTATTTTTGTGCTTTTGGAAAATACTTTACTTATTAAATTGTCTCGACTCTTTGGTAAAAAATGTGAAATTATCGAAAATTATCAAAAATTCAAAAATCCGAATTTCTTAAAATTCAACATTTTTTTCTCTTTTTTATAGAATTTAGCTTCGTTATTGTTGTGCTTTTGGAAAATACTTTACATATTAAATTGTTTCGACTCTTTGGTAAAAAATGTGAAATTATCGAAAATTATCAAAAATTCAAAAATCCGATTTTCTTAAAATTCAACATTTTTTCTTCTCTTTTATAGGATTTAGCTTCATTATTTTTGTGCTTTTGGAAAATACTTTACTTATTAAATTGTCTCGACTCTTTGGTAAAAAATCTAAAATTATCGAAAATTATCAAAAATTCAAAAATCCGAATTTCTTAAAATTCAACATTTTTTCTTCTCTTTTATGGGATTTAGCTTCATTATTTTTGTGCTTTTCGAAAATACTTTACTTATTTAATAGTCTCGACTCTTTGGTAAAAAATCTAAAATTATCAAAAATTCGAAAAAATTCAAAAATCCGATTTTCTTAAAATTCAACATTTTTTCTTCTCTTTTATGGGATTTAGCTTCATTATTTTTGTGCTTTTGGAAAATACTTTACTTATTAAATTGTCTCGAATCTTTGGTAAAAAATCTAAAATTATCGAAAATTATCAAAAATTCAAAAATCCGAATTTCTTAAAATTCAACATTTTTTCCTCTCTTTTATAGAATTTAGCTTCGTTATTTTTGTGCTTTTGGAAAATACTTTACATATTAAATTGTCTCGACTCTTTGGTAAAAAATGTGAAATTATCGAAAATTATCAAAAATTCAAAAATCCGAATTTCTTAAAATTCAACATTTTTTCCTCTCTTTTATAGAATTTAGCTTTATTATTTTTGTGCTTTTGGAAAATACTTTACTTATTTAATAGTCTCGACTCTTTGGTAAAAAATCTAAAATTATCAAAAATTCGAAAAAATTAAAAAATCCGATTTTCTTAAAATTCAACATTTTTTCTTTTTTTTTATAGGATTTAGCTTCATTATTTTTGTGCTTTTGGAAAATACTTTACTTATTAAATTGTCTCGACTCTTTGGTAAAAAATCTAAAATTATCAAAAATTCGAAAAAATTCAAAAATCCTATTTTCTTAAAATTTAACATTTTTTCTTCTCTTTTATGGGATTTAGCTTCATTATTTTTGTGCT